AGGCCCGGGAAAGGAGCACCACCCCCAACACAGGGGGGGGCCCCCACAGGTGGACGAGGATCCCAGACGTCGGTGTTGGTGCTAATATACTTCGGCCACCCTGGGAGCCCGAAGCTTACCACCCTCACCGAGGTCGGAGTCCTCTTCCCTCGGTGGAGGCACACCACCGATATCGGCGCTGGTGGCAACCTCCAGGCCTGCGAACATAGGGTCAGCACCAGCCATCGGGATGCAGTTTAGGAATGCACGACCCGTGGGGCGCGCCGAAATGACATTACCCCTGCGACGTACCCGACCCATTCTATACATGTGGTGACTACTCCAGATTTCGTAATAAAGGGAGGGGGGTCTCATTTCGGGGGGGGGGTTCTCTTCCAGGCTATCTTGGAGGGCCTGGGGGGTCTGGGGACGATGTTTTGGAGGGTTCTCCCACGGGGGAGGTCTGAAATGGCTTGTCTTGGAGGGTCCAGACCCCCTCCCTTTTATTACGAAATCTGGAGTGCACTCAGGACCACTCAATGCTGACGGGCGCGCTGAAAAACCCGCAGTGCGGAAGAAGAGCACCCAGCAGTGAAATTAGAAGAGCGCAGCAAGACGAGCAGCGGCAACGGGTAAGACGTCCTTCCGCTGGGCCTCCCAGGAGCCCACGACAGTGGCGACAATTGCGCAGATCGCAGCCCCCCAGGGCGCCGCGAGGTCTCGAGGTGGTCCGCGTGAGACCCACCTCCGCTGGGCCTCCTAGGCGCAAACGAACATGGCGACAATTGCGCAGATCGCAGCACACAGGGCACCGCGAGGTCTCGAGGTGGTACGCGTGAGACCCACCTCCGCTGGGCCTCCCAAGAGCCAACGAAAATGGCGACAATTGCGCAGATCGCAGTACACAGGGCACCGCGAGGTCTCGAGGTGGTACGCGTGAGACCCACCTCCGCTGGGCCTCCCAGGAGCCCACCCACGAAAATGGCGACAATTGCGCAGATCGCAGCACACAGGGCACTGCGAGGTCTCGAGGTGGTCCGCGTGGGACCCACCTCCGCTGGGCCTCCCAGGAGCCCACGACAGTGGCGACAATTGCGCAGACCGCAGCCCCCAGGGCACCGCGAGGTCTCGAGGTGGTCCGCGTGGGACGTACCTCCGCTGGGCCTCCCAAGAACCCACGAAAAAAGACGACAATTGCGCAGATCGCAGCCCCCAAGGCACCGCGAGGTCTCGAGGTGATCCGCGTGGGACCCACCTCCGCTGGGCCTCTCCAGGAGCCTACGAAAATGGCGACAATGCGCAGATCGCAGCTATCCAAGGCACCGCGAAAAAAAAAAAAAAAAAAAAAAAAAAAAAAAAAAAAAAAAAAAAAGAAAATAAAAAAAAAAAAAAACAAAAAAAAAAAAAAAAAAATAAAAAAAAAAAAAAAAAAAAATAAAAAAAAAAGAAAAAGGAAAAAAAAACAAAAAAAAAAAAAAAAAAAAAAAAAAAAAAATAAAAAAAAAAAAAAAAAAAAAAAAAAAAAAAAAAAAATAAAAAAAAAAAAAAAAAAAAAAAAAAAAAAAAAAAAAAAAAAGAAAAGAAAAAAAAAAAAAAAACAAAAAAAAAAAAAAAAAGCAAAAAAGAAAAAGTCTCCGATGTGGTCCGCGTGGTAACCCACCTCCGCTGGGCCTCCCAAAAGCCCCAGAACGTGGCGACAATTGCGCAGATCGCAGCCCCCAAGACACCGCGAAATCTCGAGGTGGTCCGCGTGGGACCCACCTCCGCTGGGCCTCCCAAGAGCCAGCGACAAGTGCGACAATTGTGCAGATCGCAGCCCCCAAGGCACCGCAAGGTCTCGAGGTGGTCCGCGTGGGACCCACCTCCGCTGGGCCTCCCAGGAGCCCACGAAGGTGGCGACAATTGCGCAGATCGCAGCCCCCCAGGGCACCGCGAGGTCTCGAGGTGATCCGCGTGGGACCCACCTCCGCTGGGCCTCGCAGGAGCCCACGAAAGCGGCGACAGGTGCGCAGATCGCAGCCCCCAGGGCACCGAGAGGTCTCGTGGTGGTCCGCGTGGGACCCACCTCCGCTGGGGCCTCCCAGGGAGAGGAACCCACGAACATGGAGACAATGCCGCAGATCGCAGCTTCAAGGGCAATCCGCGGGTCTCGAGGTGGCCCGCGTGGGACGTACCTCCTCTGGGCCTCCAAGGAACCCACGAAATAAAACAAAAATATTAAAAAATAAATAAAAAAAGAAAACAAAAAAACAAAAAAAAAAAGTGGCGACAGTTGCGCAGATCGCAACTTCCAGGGCACCGCGAGGTCTCGAGGTGGTCCGCGTGGGACGTACCTCCGCTGGGCCTCCCAGGAACCCACGAAAAAAGGGGACAGTTGCGCAGATCGCAGCCCCCAGGGCACCGCGAGGTCTCGAGGTGATCCGCGTGGGACCCACCTCCGCTGGGCCTCCCAGGAGCCCACGAAAATGGCGACACTTGCGCAGATCGCAGCCCCCAGGGCAGCGCGAGGTCTCGAGGTGGTCCGCGTGGGACCCTCCTCCGCCGGGCCTCCCAGGCGCCCACCCACGAAAATGGCAACACTTGCGCAGATCGCAGCACACAGGGCACCGCGAGGTCTCGAGGTGGTCCGCGTGGGACGTACCTCCGCTGGGCCTCCCAGGAGCCCACGACAGTGGCGACAATTGCGCAGATCGCAACTTCCAGGGCGCCGCGAGGTCTCGAGGTGGTCCGCGTGGGACCCACCTCCGCTGGGCCTCCCAAGCGCCCACGAACATGGCGACGGTTGCGCAGATCGCAGCCCCCAGGGCACCGCGAGGTCTCGAGGTGGCCCGCGTGGGACGTACCTCCGCTGGGCCTCCAAGGAACCCACGACAGTGGCGACAGTTGCGCAGATCGCAACTTCCAGGGCACCGCGAGGTCTCGAGGTGGTCCGCGTGGGACGTACCTCCGCTGGGCCTCCCAGGAACCCACGAAAAATGGGGACAGTTGCGCATATCGCAGCCCCAGGCACCGCCCCTGCTCGAGTGATGCCGCCGTGGCACCCCCTCCGCTGGCCTCTCCAGGAGCCACCGAAAATGGCGACAATGCGCAGATCGCAGCCCCCAGGGCAGTCGAGTCTCGAGGGGGTCCGCGTGGGACCCTTCCCGGGCTGCCTCCCAGGCGCCACCCACGAAAATGGCACACTTGCACAATTGGCAGCAACAGGGCACCGCGAGGTCTCGAGGTGGTCCGCGTGGGGCCCACCCCCGCTGGGCCTCCTAGGAGCCCACGACAGTGGCGACAGTTGCGCAGATCGCAGCCCCCAGGGCGCCGCGAGGTCTCGAGGTGGTCCGCGTGGGACCCACCTCCGCTGGGCCTCCCAGGAGCCCACGAAAGTGGCGACAGTTGCGCAGATCGCAGCCCCCCAGGGCGCCGCTAGCTCTCGAGGTGGTCCGCGTGGGACGTACTTCCGCTGGACCTCCCAGGAGCCCACGAAAGTGGCGACAATTGCGCAGACCGCAGCCCCAGGGCACCGCGAGGTCTCGAGGTGTTCCGCGTGGACCCCCTCCGCTGGGCCGCCCCAGAGCCACGAAAATGGCAGACAGCTGGCGCAGATCGCGCAGCCCCAGCAGACCGCGAGGTCTCGAGGTGGTCCGTCGTGAGACCCACCCTCCGCTGGGCCTCCCCAAACTCCCCCCCGAAAAAAAAAAAAATTTCTTTGGCGACAGTTGCGCAGCACCGCCGCCACCCAGGCAACCGCGAGGTCCTCAAGGTGGTCCGCGTGTGACCCACCTCCGCTGGGCCTCCCTGGTGCCCACGTAAATGGCGACAGTTGCGCAGATCGCAGCCCCCAGGGCACCGCGAGGTCTCGAAGTGGTCCGCGTGGACCCACCTCCGCTGGGCCTCCAGACCCACGACAGTGGCGACAATTGCGCAGAATCGCAGGCCCCAGGCACCGCGAGGACGCGAAGTGGTCCGCGTGAGACCCACCTCCGCTGGGCCTCCCAGGGGCCCACGAAAGTGGCGACAGTTGCGCAGACCGCAGCCCCCAGGGCACCGCGAGGTCTCGAGGAGGTCCGCGTGGGAACCACCTCCGCTGGGCCTCCCAGGAGCCCACGACAGTGGCGACAGTTGCGCAGACCGCAGCCCCCAGGGCACCGCGAGGTCTCGAGGTGGTCCGCGTGGGACCCACCTCCGCTGGGCCTCCCAAGAGCCCACAAACATGGCGACAATTGCGCAGATCGCAACCCCCAGGGCAGCGCGAGGTCTCGAGGTGGTCCGCGTGGGACCCACGTCCGCTGGGCCTCCCAGGAGCCCACGAAAGTGGCGACGGTTGCGCAGATCGCAGCCCGACGGCACGAGAGAAGAGGAGAGGGGAACACAGGAGACAGGAGAGGAGGACGGGAGGAGGGGGGAGGAGAAGGAGGCCGGGCCTCCACACTGCTCTATTCAAAACGAGTACCCAACCATAGGAGAGTTGGGACAAATGACGAGCCCGCAAGGGCACCCTGGGGCCACGAAGGCCACACATGCGCCGAGGATGGCCAGAACGCCGAGGGAAGCAAAGTGCCCCTGGGGAAAGGGCCACATTCTCGACGCCGTTTGTTGTTGACTGTATCGATGGGGTCAGCAATCCGGAAGCAGCGGGGCAGGAGAGTCTAGAATCATATCGATAAGCCGGATCTGCAATCGAAATGAAACGGATCGGCGAACATCGGCAGCCGAGTCATGAATCGAATCGGCGGACATCGGCAGGCTCGTATGGTTTCACTGAGACATCGGAGCCCGCATCGGAATCCCAAGTCGAATCGGATCGGAAGCGGAAGCCATCGAAATCGAATCGAATCGAATCGGGAGAATTCCACCGCCACCGTGCCAAGGCAGGGCCATCCTGGGCCCCAGGATGGTGTATACGCCCTCCTGCCAAGGCCAAGAGGGTCTATACACCATCCTGGGGCCCAGGATGGCCCTGGCCTGGCACGGTGGTGGTGTATAGATGCCTTCGTCGGAGAGAATCGAAGCGAGCCCCGGCGGGGCGCCACCGTGTCAACGGCCGTCAGGAAGCTGTACCGCGCCGGCGCTTGCGGGGCCGTGTTGCCTCCCGCCCGCGTATGCGCGCGCATGTGCGCGCGCACGCGCGCCGCCCCGCTGCCTGCAGCGAGCTCCGTGGGGCGTGCCTGGCCACGGCTTCGAAGTCCAGCGGCCAAGCGACGGCCGAAAGCAGGGCGAAGGAAGCCACCCCTCGGTCGGAAGGAGTAGGCAGAACCAGGAAGCAGGGAGGCGCTGGAGGTGGACTGGGCCTCCGCCCGCCGCCTGAAGCGGAGGGACGAGGGGGATCCACGCGACTCCTGAAGTAGGGAGGCGCTGAACGCAGATTGGAATCTGGGACTCCAGAATGATACCGGAGAAAAGCCCCAATCAAAGTCTTTTAGGACTACAGGGCTATGGGGCTATTGGGCTATAGGGCGATGGGGCTATGCGGCTATAGGGCTCTAGGGCTCTAGGGCAACATGGCCAGAAGGCTAGAGGTCTATAGTGCTAGGGGGCTATACGGCTGTAAGGCCATAAGGCTGTAGGGCTATAGGGATACAGGAATATCGGCCTATAGGGCTGTAGGGCTATAGGGCTATTGGGCTATAGGGCTATAGAGCTATTGGGCTATAGGGATATGGGGCTGCAGGGCTATTGGGCTATAGGCATGTGGAGCTATAGGGCTATAGGGCTATAGGGTTATAGGGTTATGGGGCTATTGGGGTACAGGTTCATAGGGCTCTAGGGCTCCTGGGCTATAAGGCTATAAGGCTATAAGTCTGTTGGGGCTATAGGACTATATGGCTATTGGGATATAGGGCTACAGGGCTATTGGGCTATGGGCCTATGGGGCTATCGGGCTATAGGGCACCCGGGCACCCGGGCGGGCCGCGGAAATCGGTGGCAAACCTCACCGAACCATGTGTATCCGCTGGGACCCCTACCAGAGTCAAGCTCTGATTGAGGAAATACCTACTTTCAACGACCGAGGGGTATGATTCAAAAACATCTGGGCGTCAGCTTCCCGGAAACTTCTGGAGGCAAGCGTGGGCCAACTTCTGTCGTGAACCCTGGCGGGGAGAGCGTGCTCCAGGAACCGTCCTGGCAAATTGGCAAAGAAACGCTGCTGGCAAAGCTTTCGGTGAGGTCTTTTGATCAGATGCTCGACTGCATAGTAGGACACATGCGATGTAATCAGGGCTGGCCTAAAGGTTGTGCTTCGATGTGTGTTCGTGCTGTATTTCGTTGTTTGCTGTCTCTTCTCCTGCACCTCCCTGCCAAAACGAAAAACAAAATACAGCCGAAGTCCAGCAAAACAGCGTTTAGGTCCAGCCCTGGATGAGATATCTCTTGCTGCAAGGGCACCTTATTCGTCGACCTTTGAGGGTCCTTAGGTGCCCCAGCGCTTCGGAGGGCAACTGGGGCAATCGGGGCACGAGAAATTCCCATGGGGCACCCTGCTCGCATGCCGACTTCTTGTTTCATGTGCCTGCTGCACGGCAGGTGCTCGTCGTGACGACTTGCGCCTTGGTTCCTCGCACCACGTGGACCGTTCAGCCTAGAGCCATCGGGGCCTCCCGAGAACACCGACCGAACAAACTCGGCCGATGCCGTGCCAGCTGTGGCGTTCACCCTTACGCGCCCGCGCTCGGACCGCAAACGCATCGACGCGGCGGACCTGCGCGCGAATCGGATCGAACCGGATCGAATTGGAACGCATCGGCCTGCATAGGCAAGGAATCGAATTCAAATCGAACCAAGCATACCAGGATGCGCAACAGCGCGAGGCTAACATCTAGCCGTTGAGGACCGTCGGAACATCGGGATCCACTCGGACCGAGCCGACCGGAATCGATATCGAAATGGATCGATCGGATCGAAGTGGGCCCCGCCCTACCGCGGGGGGGTTCTCTGCGAGATTCCCTCGGCTTCGGCTGCCCCCCACGGGGGAAGCCTGCCTCCCATCGCCCTCTCTGCTCCCGCTGGCGTCTACCTGCTCTGCGCCACCTTCCGCCAGGCAAGCGCTGGCAAGACTGCAGAACTTGGTCTCCAGGGAGCGAAGACTGACATACGCATAAAACTCGAAGGTCCGCGCGGACCTCGGAGTTCTATGTTTATGTCATTCTTCGCTCCCCTAATCTCTCTCTCTCTCTCTCTCGCTCTCTTTGTTTTTTCTCGCTCGCTCTCTTTATCTGTGCGCAGATGCGCCCGAACAGCCTGCGAGTCTGCGTCCACGCCCGGTGTGCCTGCTCCGCTGCCCGACTGCACTCCTCCTCCTCAGAAGAAGAAGAAGACAAAGACAAATAACGCCTGCTTCCCCTCCCCCCTCCTCCTCCTCCTCCTCCTCCTCCTCCTCCTCCTCCTCCTCCTCCTCCTGCCCCTCCCCCTCCCCCTCCTCCTCCTCCTCCTCCTCCTCCTCCTCCTCCTCCTCCTCCTCCTCCTCCTCCTCCTCCTATAATCATCAACCGTATACGCGTTAAGAACTTTATGCAAGCTATAAGTATACGCGTTACAAGCGTTCAAAAACGTTATAGACATAAACTGTTGACGCTCTCCGCAAATTTCGCGGATCTGCGCTGGAAGCCCCCTCCCTGGCGCGCGTAGCGCCCCCTGGCGGCGCCGAAGGCGCCGCCGAAGAGGGGGGAAGGAACCCAGCGCGGATCCGAGAAATCCGCGCGGAGCGCCAAAAGTTCATGTTTCTGCCGTTGTGTCGTCTTCGCTTCCTTCCCAGGCAGGGGGGCCCCTCCCGAGCCTCGAGTGTCGGAGCACGCAATGTATCAGGTGATGCATTCGGCTGACCATTGTGATGTTTGAGAGCTTACAGGGGGCGCCGAGTTGCAACCCATGTGAGCTTACAGGGGGCGCCGCCTGGCCAGCTCTCCGCGCCTGGCGCCTCCTTCCACACTCTCTGCGTCGGCGGCGAAGCCATTTGTTACTATTCCGAGTCGGTGCAGAGAGCACCCCCCTTGGCAAAAACTGCCCCGAGGAGTGATTCATCACAAGGTCGGGGATATGGACATCCAAGGGGGTCGTGTCTACTCGTGCGGCTGCTCCCAGACGGGAAATATAGCATGATGCGACCAGCTCAAGATCCGTTAAGGGATTGCCGGCGTTTCTAGCGGCCCTCGGCCATTCGTCCATGGCAGCGCGCGACAGCAGGAGCACCTAGGAAACCTTGGAAAGTCAATAGGAGGAGGAGGAGGAGGAGGAAGAGGAGGAGGAGGAGCAGGAGGAGTAGGAGGACCCACATGTCTTGCTCCTCTGATACTCGCTGCCCACAATGCCTGCGTACTGCTCCGCCCAAGCCCCCACCCGAGCACATCAGGCGGCAGTCCCCACCGCTCGGCAGCCTCCCGCGTCACTTGCATTGATTGATAGCTCTCGCCTTTTTGCTTTCTCTCTCTCTCTCTATATATAGAGATAGATATGTAGATATCCTCTCTCTCTCACTCCCTATTTCTCTCTCTCTCTCTCTCTCTTTTTCTCTCTCGCCATCTCTTTCGCTCTCCCTCTCTCTCTCTCTCTCTCTCCTCACTTGCATCACACCAACACCCTAAATCCGCACCCTGAGGCGACAGCAAGGTACCGATACCGCTGCTCCACAAGCCTGTCCCGGGCGCATGCTGCCCAGGATCTCGAGGCTAGCCCCGCTGGGCGTGACGAGGGCTCTCCTGGACGAGCAACGGCATCGCTGCCTTGCCCTCCCCTGACTCCCGTGCCTTACAGTGGCGGCCCGGCCACAAGAAACCTTCCACAAGGAACCCGACCCTGAGACCCCAGGACGTCCGTTGGTTTTCGTGTGGGAGCGTCGCGCTCTCCATCGCAAAACCATCGAAACCCAAGAAACCCAGGGCACCCTGGAGGCAAACAGGGTGCTTCTTGCCACGGGCCTCGTATCCCTCGCCCTGTCCACCGCGCGCCCCGCTCGTGTGCCTCCCCCCGAGGCCCCGCCTCGCGGCCAGCCCAGGGGGCACGAGCAGCCACGGCCCACTCGGCCCGCCGTCCAACCGACCGGCGCCAGCCGCCGCTCAGCCCCGCTCCCAGCTCGACCCCGCTCGCTCTCCAACTGGTCGTCACTCTCTCTCTTCCTTCCTCTCTCTTTCTCTCTCTCTCTCTCTCTTCTTTTCTTTTTTGTTTGTTTTGTTTCTCTCTCTCTCTCTCTCTCTTTCGAAGCGATACTCAGCATTGCGGAGCGATTCCCAGTGGATGCGCGTCGCCAGTGCACTCACCCCTTTCTTGGAAGGGGGCTGCGTGGGGGCTCGCGTTCGAAGGAGGAGCTCCCTGTCGGGCGCAGCCGAGGCAGGGTGGGTGGGGAGTCGGGGCACGGGCACCGCCAAGCGCGGAATCCTGAAAAATCCTTCCATCCTCTGAAATTCTCTCACACTCCGCAAACATTTGCCAATACTCCCCTCGAATCATTCAGGAATCGTCGAGGGTCCTCCAGGACTCGCAAGATTCCCCCCGGAATTCTCAGGAGTCCCTGCGGATTCGTCAAAGCTCTGGGAGAGCTGAAGCAAGCCGCTTCGCTTGTACTCTGGCGTCCGCCTTCTACGATTACAACATCGGGGATGGACAGACCCCCCTTAGTAAAACGTGGTTCAGCGAAAACGACCTGAGGCCCAAACCTGGCGGTCGCAAGCCTGGAAATAGCGGCCACGGCGCCTTCTCGAAAACCGAAAACGGACAATTCATTAATCGACGTGTCACTGTTGGGGCTTCTGTCCGCCCCCGACAATAGGCATCCTCAACGTCAAGGCCAACCCGTTCCCAGTGGATGCAGTCGGCCCGCAGTGGTCCGTGAATGGTCCGGAGCTGCTGGCAACGGAAATCTTATCCTGGGACCTCGGGGGTCCGCGCGTGGAAGCATAACACATCGTGGGCGGTTGAGGGCTGAGGGCCTGGGTTCAGGTCGGGCACGTCCCCCTGCAGGCGGATCCTGCTAGAAAAGTGGCACGTAGCCAACACACATCAAAAAACAAAGAAGTCTCCCCCAGACTGCCGTTGCTACCATTCTTGCACGTTCCTCCGGTAGAGTGAAGGGACATGCCCGACTTACGCCTGGCTCTAGCCCTGCAGGGCCTGCTCCCCCTCAGAAGGTGCTGCTCTTGGTGGCCCTTCCAATGCCCCTCACCTCCCCCCCAGAGGTGCTCCTCAAGGGCGAGAGCAGTGCCACGCACCAGACAGGCTCGGGGTGCGCTCTGGGAACTCCCTGGAGCTCCGGAGCCTGTCCTGGAAGTGCTCGGCCACTCGGCATCCTCGGCAAGCCCGCCTCTGGTCGCGTGCAGAAAGAAAGACACAAAACTCGTGGAACGCACCATCATCACCATCGTCACCACCATCATCATCATCATCGT